AGGGGGTGGAGAAAGAGATTCCACCTTTCAGTGGGAGCAGTGACAAAGAATTTGAAGTTATCTTTAAACTATATAGCAAGGCTATGTGCAGTTAATCAATGTAAAAGCTGATGTTTGAAAAAAAGTGAGGGGCATAAAAAGAGTAGGAATTTGAACACTGCTGACTGCATGTGATATAAAGGGAGAAATTAGCTGCATGAGAATCACATTCAGGTGGACTCAAGGAAAGTTTGCCTTAGACCAGTTCCACCAGAATTACCAGGAGGACGTGTTAAAATGTGGATTGCTGGGACCCACTGCCAGAGTTTCTGATTCAGCAGGCCTCAGGCAAGGCCTGGAAATTTATGTTTCTAACAAGTCTTCAGATGATGCTGATGCTATTGGTCTTGGGAACTACACTTTGAAAACCACTGCTTTAGACTGTGCAGGACCAGGAACAGTGAGAAAATTTAAATAGAGAAAAAAAGGAATATTATTTTTCCTCTAATGCTATTTTTAGAAGCCTAGTGTCAGTAGCTTAAATTTAAGTTCTGGGCCACAGCAAACACATTAACATAGAGCCTTTTTGTTTGTCAGGGTAACTAACCCTAGTGCTGCAACATCAACCCCTGATATCTCATTAGCTTAACACAGCAAAGGTTTCTTCTCACTCATGTAAAGTTCATTGTGACTCAGCAGCTTCCCTGTCTGTGGCAGTACACCATCTGGAACATGTGGCTCTCTGTTGCTGAGGCAGGGGAAGAAAAGGGAAGAGTGTGAAGAATGAAGCACACTGGCTCTTAACTGCCTCAGCCAGGAAGTGACACAGGTTACTTTGTATCAGAGTCCATTGGTCAGAACTAGTCATATGACCTCAATCTTAAGTGCAAAGGAAACTGGGAAATGTAGGAGAGCACATGGATAGTTAGCAAACCTTACCTGTCTCTACCACAGTACCAGGTAACTTTAGTGCCCCATATTCTGTGATTATGCACAGCTGGAAGTGGAAAGCGTTTCATGAGCCCTCAATTGTACGTACACTTATAATTATTCCAACATCGTTGTTATTACTTTTAAATATTTATTATCATCTGTGAGTAATTTATGCTTTTATTCCTAGTTTTCTATGTGGCATTAAACAGAATGCCTAATGACATCACTGTTTTGAAAGAAGATCTGTTGTTAAAACTACTTTTTCCCTTGTTACAAATGACTTGGTAAGGCTTTGTTATCACATCATTCTAGCTGTCCTGTTGAAGACTGATTAAAGAAGCCACCATCTCTTTTTCTTTCTCATTTTGCCAACCATACAATTCTTTAGGTAAGTGTCAAAGTGATTACTTATGCTGCTATAGTGTAGAGAGCCTGTGCTGATTAGCAACAGGACATTATCAGCACTTTAAAACCATCTTATGGTCATTTTTGAAAGTAAAAAAAAAGAAATTAATTTTTATCCCATCCACATGAATCCCACCGTTAGCTCGGTCTTAGAAAATGTAGTACAGAATATTGTCAGTGAGAAACAAAGCAGAAGTTTGGTTCAATTTCATCATCAGACTTATTGCTATTGCCTATCTTTTGTCTGGAATTCTTTTCTTATGGTGAATTCACAAAATTGACACTGTGAGAGGGACTGTTGGCCACATAGGGATTCTTTGGTCATGAGAAAATAGTTCCTAGTTTTCTTCTGCTGATGGGAAGATTTGTTTGGCAGATAAAACCTCAGGAACATGCTACACACCCAGTCTCAGCAGGTTTGAGGCAAATTTCCATTTTAATTTTGTCTCTCGAATTCTGTAGCCTTAATCAACACCTCTGATATGTTGAAACAATATGATAATGATATTTTTTGTGTGGAAATATGCTTGAATGGTAGCAGTCACCTCTCTGGCACACTAAAATGCTGTCTGTCATGATTATTAGAAAGCTTCTGAGTTATGTATTTTGATGCCTTTGTTATATGGCTGTAGTTTATAATTAGAATCTTCATAAGCTTTTTCACCACAATTATTCAGTAGTTTCTAGGCAGGCAGTTTCTTTAAGTGAATAAGTGACAGATCAGCATTACTCTCCCCACTGAACAGGTGAAGAAACTGAGACAATTTCATGCCTAGCCCAACATGTTCTGGTGAGTCAGAGGCAGCGTTAGGATAAAACCTCAGTTTATATGCTTAGGCCAACACACCTTGTGTAACTCTGAAGTTAAATTTCTGGAATCAGGGACACTCTTTTGGTTTAATATATGCTAGAGCAATAGAATGATGTGCAGTTATAAAAACTGGAAACTATTAAATCAAGTTATATGATCCATTTTGGAAGTGTGGCTACAGTGCCCTACCTGAGCTAGGTGAAGAAATGCTTTACTATACACAGAAGACTGAATAACATAGTGGAAAGAGCACGAGGTTAGAGCTGGAAGAAGCAGACTCCAGTGAGAGGAGCTGTGTGACCTTGGTCACGTCACTTAGCACCTTAAAAGCCTGGTATCTTTACTTGTAAAGTGTGGGGCATCTGAAGACACATTCTCTAAAGTCTAAATTTCTATTGCAGAATTTTGAAACTGTTATATTTGTGTTTGGAAGAATCCTTCTTAGGTGCATGTTAATTCAACCAAAATTTCCATTCTCTTAAAGATTTATTTTTAGGTGGAAATTATTACGAGAGACAGTTTCCTTGGCTTTGGCTTGGCATATGCAATCTTCTCTCTGTCATCAGTTCTGCTGAAGAGTACAGAAGGGAATTGGGGAATGAGACTTGTCTGTGAGGAAGCTGTGTGTGCAGAGCAGGCACAAACTTGTAAAGCAAGGCTCTCTCCATAACTCTGCTTCCCATTCTTCCTGGGGCTGGAGGCTGAACTCTAAACCACCTCCTCCTACCCCACAGTGCCTTATTGATGGATACAGGACATTTTAACATGGGGAGGGTATTTGCTAGGCTATTTTTCTAGCAGCTCCTGTTATCCATCACCATCCCTATGCACTTGGTCCATTTGTCATGGAATGAGTCTGGGGGAATTTGCTTTTTCAGCTTCTTTCTTCCTTCCCACGCTTTTGCCAAGTGAGAAGAACATGGCATCAGCCTCATTGAAATGCGGTGCTGCCTCCCTGTTTTTCCAAGTCTGCCCCTGTGAAAAAGAAGCTTGGTGAGACTCATTAAGGGCAAAGCATGGGGGTTAGGGTTACTTTGAAGGGTTTTCTCTGCAGAGGTCCAGATTTATTTCTGAATATCACTGACCCAGAGGCCAGTTTCATATCCTGGAAAAAAAAATGCTCTAAGAGAATGTGTCAGCAGAACTGGCATTGCATGTCTAGACAAAGAATTGACATTAGCATCATCAGCCAGCATCCAATCTGTTAATTCTTGTGTAAGCATTCGCTGTCTGAGCCTCAGGCATTTTTGGACTTTAAATGAAAACTTTAACTCTAAGATTTAGACTTAGGTCTTTCAGGAGCTTCTTTCGGAGGAAGGAATCACAAGGTAACTTATTTCAAGATCAGATATTTTATTGATAAACATAAAAGTTCTCTCATCTTTTTTTTTTCCTTCTTCAGTAAAATGGTGACTATGTCATCACCATCTTCATCCTATTGTATATTTGTTATCTCAAAAAATATTTGTTAAATACCCGCTGGGAGCTTATGCAGGGCATTCTGCTGATACATTGGTGAATAAAACAGCCAAGGTCCCTACCTCCTGGAGTTTATAGCTTAATGGGGGAGACTGACCACAAACAAGTGTAACAGGATCTCTCTGTCTCAGTTTTGGCTGAGGCACCAAAGAACAAAGCAGTAGGTGTCAAGTCTCTTGGCTTTCTAAACTGAGGTGCTAGACTACCTCTGCAGGACTTGCAGAAAAGGTACTGGTTCTGCCGGTCTGAACCCATCATCTACCTCCAGGGCTCCAGGGTTGAGGAGAAGTCTTAGTGTTCTTGGAGGTTTTGGTGTTAGGAGAGGGGATTTCCTGAGGAGAGTTGTCACTGTGCTGTGGGGTTCCCCTCACTGTAGGTAGGAGCTGTGTATCCCCCACTTTCAAAACTAGTAGTGAGGAGGCTTCCGGGGAACCACTCAGAGAGAGCGCTGTCCTGTGTTCCCCGAATCTGGGGGATTTGGGGACTGACATATGAGGCATCTCAAGGCAGAGGCAGGGGCAGTGGAGAGAAGAGGTGCTGTATTGAGAATGGCCAGCCCTTCCATAGTTGACTGGGAAAAAACTGACTCTGAGGAAGGAGCAGACTGGGTCATCTTGGCAGCAACTTGAGAGGGAGAAACAATGGAGTGAGGTGACTCTGGAAAGAGACAGGTCTCTAGAATGGAATGGCAGAACGGGATGGTGGGGAAAATTCTTAAGGGACCAACCAGAAAGAATATTGCCTGGCAAAGCAGCTGTGGGGGGCAGGACCTCTGAAAACTCCATAAAGAGCAGGCCTGGGAAGCTTGGTTATCTGCCAGATGCAGAGGTACAAACCTCAGATGACAGTGTCATCTGACAAGACAGACCTATATTCCCCTCTTCTCCCTCAGCTGCCCCAACCTTGAAGAGCCGGAATCCACAGCTGCAAAGATGGGAGGAGGTGGAGCGGGGAGAAAGCTGATAAGGCTGTCTTCCTGATGAGCTTCCTTGCCTGGAGCAGAAGCAGATCTGAGCTGGGAGAGTGGAGGAATCATTGGTTAACTTAGGTGGAGAGTTCTGATATTAAAATCACCTGAGAAAACAGACTATTTGTTTAAGACTTGGGAGTGTCTGGGATAGCTATGGGACTGGTGGAGATTTTCGTCTAGAGACAGGAAAGAACATATGAAGACAGCAGATTCAAAGGGGCAGAGGAAGGAGAGGATAAATTGCTTTCTGTCTGCATATACTGATTCTGGTTTCTTTACTATCCTAACTTGATTATGCTAGTAAATAAATAAAATGTAGAATTATAAAATCATGATACCAGGTGAGGTGGTGTGCACCTGTAGTCCTAGCTTTTCAAGTGGTTGAGGCATGAGGATCACTTGAGTCCAGGAGTTCAAGTCCAGCCTGGGCAACATAGTGAGGCCCCATCTCTAAAAAGTAAATAAGCAAATTAAAAAGAATTATAAAACTGCTCTTAAAGGATAGTGCAGAGGGTGGTAGTGGGGGAGACCTATTTAGATAGGTCAATAAGGATGACCTCTCCAGAAACCATATGTAATGAATGAGCAGGAGTCAGCTGTGCTAAGTGCTTGGGGAGAGTTAGGGATGGGGGTTCCTCTAGGGTCCAGGCAGTGGAAACAGTATGTATAAGGTTTATGAGAACAACATCCAATAAACATTAGAGTGATTTTAACCAAGAATATTTTCATTCTTTGTGCAGGGCACTGAGTTAAAATCTGTCTTATAAACAGGACAAATGCCTCCTTCACTGAAAATTGAGGCTTAATTGATCAATCTTGGAAAAAAACCCTTGGATAAAAGGTAATGTCAAAAGGCTACACAGAGCAAAGAGACTTCTGCCCTCTGCTCCGAGCTCCCAGTGACCCCAGAGAACATCCTTCTTTTCTGAGTATTGTCGTGACCAGCAGCCTCTCCTATGGCATTGGTTCCCTTTTATGGAGTGCAGGGGATTCTGGGTGAAGAAACACTGAGCTCCCCTGACAGTCTCAGGAGGAAGGAGGGAGGGAGGGAAAACCCTCGACTCGTTCTAGGGCTCTGTTTATGTGTAAGAGATAGAAAAGACTACTTGTTGGAAGCATGCCATGCAAAGTAATAGAGGTAAGATGTCAATGACTCCATCAGTAGGGGCAGGTGTAATCCCTTGCATTGACACACTGATTGGAAAAATGACTCACCTTTGCTGATATACATTTGCTCACTCAGGAAATAAAAAGAGCAAAAAGATGAACTGGTGGCCTAGTGAAGGCCCAGGGAGAGTGCCTGCAGGAATGTGAACTCATCCATTTAAAGCTTATATCTTGGGCAGACAGTTACCTCAGCAAGGAACCTTCCCAGGCTTCTCTGGGTTTCCAGCTGGCTCTCAGTCTCTATCAGGGGATGGAGCATCTCTGGGTAGAGGGCAATGCACCAAGCCCGTGAGGGGTCCTAGGAGAGGAAGACTGACTGACAGCCCCTGCTTTCAGGGAATCTTGTCCGGCTGGGAGACTGAACTGGTATCACTGACACATCTCACAATCACATATGCAGAACCAACCCAAGGAGGTGAAGAGAGAGGCAAAATGTGCTTCTGGTGAATACTAGGAAAATCAATGCAATCTAAACTACCAGAGATTTCCACATCTCTAGCTTTTCATTATATCTATTTGCTTTCCCAGTAACACATGCTCAACAAAGAGACTGCCAAATACAGTGTAAAAAAATCAACTCTTTTCGTTTAAAAGATAATGTAAATAGAGAAGGAAGGAGTCTGTGCTAGGGCTTTCCTTTTCCCCATTGGTGCAAAGCAGTAGCTTGCCCCATTAGAACCTGTACCACTTAGTGAGGAATCAATCTCCAAAAAGGCTGCCTGACACACAGAAAGTTCCCGTGAGACGTATTTAAAAATCAAGTTGAGGAATTTAGAAATCTAAGGATTTTAATGTTTAAAAAAATTGAATTAGGGTGCTTTGTAATTAGATGACTTTGCCAGTATCATATCTGAATATCAGACCTTAAGATAGGCTCTTTGGTACTCAATTAAAAATACAAATAAAACATTTCAAAAATCGGCCTTCAAATTGATATTGTGGTCCTTGGGTGTATTTTTTTTTTCCTTGGCAGCATATAAGAATAGACAGAGCATGAGCATTTGTGACAGGCAAACCTGTATTTGAACACCAGCCCTGCAGTCCTTAGACCTGGAGTCTGGGACCCTGCCCTAGAGTCCGACCTTGACTGGTTCACTCTGACTATCTGAAAGATACAGCCCTCCTCACGGAGAGAGAGACATCTGGAGGCCATGAACACGTGCTGACTTGAGACCTCTGTCCCAGTGCACTCAGGTTCCAGAACTCCTTGACCAGGCAACTGGAAGCACACTTCCAGGGTCTGTCTAGGCCCAGGACAGGCTGGCTGGGCTGTCCTCTCTTCTGGTGCAGGATGGAGCCTGACACGAGAGGAATGAAAAGGGGAGTGGAACAGTGGACTGGAGGACCGCCATTTGTATCATTGCATTTGGCCCCAAAAATGTCAGGGGCAGGTCCTTGCAAGTGACTTCACCATTCTGAAGCTCATTTTCCTCCTTTAGAAAATGTGCGTAAGAATTTCTATCTTACAGATTTTAAGGATCCAATTACATTATTCTATAAACATAACTATAATGATTATAGTACACAATAAATACTTAACACTGCTATCAATCTAGAGTTCAGGCTAGACTGAAAATGTCTGTTAAAGCCACCATATAACTAAAATGCATTATTAATTATATTACTAGCACTAATAGTATTTCAGGTACATAGTCTCTGACCTGAAGTCTATGGGACCAGATGTGTTCAGTATTCACAAGTTTTTGGATTTTAGAAATCCAAATGTTTCTAAATATATGCGTAAGGCAGATAGTGCATTATACCTCAAATATTTGAGGCAGGGTCTCAATTTATTATTATTTGAAGTCATCAAATACGTTAATATTTCTACTGCAAAACTTAATGAATGGGTATGTGTGATATGCAAAGACCATAAGCAGCCTTATTCAGGTCAGCTTTTAAAAAATAACTTTTAAAATTTTAGAACTGCTTTATATTTACAGGAAAATGGCTAAGATAGTACAGACAGTTCCCATATGTCCTATATGCAGTTTTCCCTATTGGTAACATCTGATAGTACTATGGTACATTTGTCACAATTAATGAATCAATACTGATACATTGACTAAAGTCTATGCTATATTCAAATTTGCTTAATTTTTACTTGATGTTTTTTTTTTTTTTTTTTTTCCTGCTCCAGGATCCATCCAGGATGTGCCATTACATTTAGTTGCTACATCCCCATAGATTCCTATTGGCTGTTATGATTTCTCAGACTTTTCCTGTTTTTGATGACCTTGACAGTTTGGGGAGTACTGCTCCAGTATGTGTAGAATGTACCTCAGTTGGGATTTCTCTGGTGTTTTTCTTATGAATAGACTGGGTTTATAGGATTTTAGGGTTGAAGACCACAGAGGTAAATACCATTCTCATGATATAGTAAGGGGACACTCTAGCAACAGGAGTTCTCACCGTTGATGATGACCACGTCAGGTTTTCCCACTATGAATGGAGTCTTTCCTCTTCCGTTTTTATACTGTACCGTTTGGAAGGAAGCCACTTCCCACACTTAAGCAGTGGGGAGCTATTTCCACCTCCCGGAGTGCAGAATACCTATGTAAGTTATTCCAGATTCTTCTGCATGGGAGATGGGGCTCTTCTCCCCCAAGGCTCACGTTTTGCTGCCAACGGGTTAGGAAATGTTTTCTTTTTTCTTTTAAAGTTTTGGTGTTGTGAATAAGGGATTATGGGCTAGAGCCAGCATTATATCTAAATTTTAAAATTCTTACAGTGTGCTTTCACCCACTGTACCACGCTGGTGACAGAAGACACTGACCATTCTGTATAATAAGAGAGAATGACAGGGCCTAGTAGGAAGGGATAATGGCAGCCTAGAGAGCACTCCTGTTTCCCAGAGCCATGGATGATCCCCAGCCATTATGCATGGCTTGGCTAGACATTCTACCCAAGAAGTATGTTTGGCTGCTTCCACACCTTCATAACAAATTCGGCCTGAAGGGAAATACTGGGAAATACAGTGATGGCCAAGTTGAGTGTACATTTTAAAATAGAAAACAAAATTTCCCTTTTATGCATTTGTCAGGCCTTTTTAAACATGCATTTTCATGGAAACTCTTACATTGGTATTAGTTAGGAATGGGGGATATGTTCAGCTGGAAATCTAGGTGGTTCATGCCTGGGGCTCACACAGAGTCACCAGAGGACCCACTGCATTTTCCTACATTCTCACCTTCCTCTGAGGTGCTGCTTTCCCATTCCTAGGCAGCTCTGCTTCCCACACAATCTCAGACTGAGTCCCATTTCTCCTCACCTCTCCTCTCCCTTCTCCCCCTCAGCTGTATGAGACCCTCTTAGGATTTTTATTGTTATTGTTCAATCCTTGCTCCTCTGTGGTCTGTCTGTGGCTTCTGCAACTTGCTTCTACCCAGGGGTAATAGTCCAAGATCTCACAGTTTATGCCCTAGAGTTGCAGGCAGGTCTTGTGCCAGGCCCTACCCTTTAGGTAGAGAGGGTCCTACGGGGAGGGGCCCTGCAATAGCAGAGGGCAGCAGCTATTCACCAACCTTCCAGAAGCCTTTTGCTACTTTAACATATGCAGAAAGTAAATCATTTTCAAGTGTATTTTGTATCATATGGAACATGGGAGCCTTCTGGAATTAAGCCCCGGCCTTCACAGTCATTACTGCCATATTAATTACACACTCTCAGGGTTGACTTTCCAACTTTGGAGTCACTTGCTGAGGCCCCAAGAGGACATTCATTTAATTAGGGCAACAGTGACCTGATTGGTTTGTTGCTGTTCAGACTTACCCATTAGTCCTAAGAGCCCATGCCATTATGGGCTTAGGGGTAACTCACGACGTGGTATGAGCCCTGGGCAGCACAGTATTTTTTCAGAACTGACTGATTGGAATGTATCTGTAGTGTGGTTTTTCCTAATTCAGTCTTCAAAGGAGACCAGTAGAAAGTGTCTCTTCTATAATTTTCATTTGGTCCTTTTCCAGCCTATGACATCTTAGGCTTAAAGAGATACATCTAAAATTACATGTATCTCTTTAGTATAAGATGAGTGATCCTATTTCTTCCACCTAATTTAGAGGAGGAATATGAATGTTTAGAAAATGGTACAAACTTCTGAGTAAAAGAAAGTCGTATGTAATTTAGAAGATGAATAATCTTCAAATAACTCCCTAAATTTGAGCTCCAATTAGGGAGAAATAATTAAGCATGTTGGCATTGAAGAAATAAAATGTTTCAACTCATTCTCTGATCTTAGTTGTGTCTCTTTATGAAGTCCAAAGTTTAAACCTAATGATGGACTAGATAAATAAACTTATTACCCACAATCTGGTTATGCCATTTGATGAATTAACTAAAGTTTCTCTGAGATCTTCTTTTCAAAGTTCCCGTGGGGGGCAAAATCCCTCCAGACCCAGTTTTTAGGGTGCCTTTGAACTGCCTGCAGCAAAGGTCTGTAAACTTTTTTGGTCAAACTCCTCTATCCATAAAAATTATTTGACTACTTAAGTGTTATGTTTTACACATTTCCTATTAAAATAATATATGTTATAAAACTTTATATTTATTTATGCCTTTTATTCTTTTTTATCATGCAATCTGTGTCTGTCAGCAACAACCTTTGATAGTTCATTTGGAAATTTGTGTATTACCTTGTGACAAATCTTCTGTTGTATTTTGAATTGTTTTTTAAAT